TTACTTAAAACTGATTCTGAAGGTTTATATATTCCATTTTGTAATTTTGTGCTCCCCCTTGTCTCTCAGTTCTACCCTTGGAATCAGAATTGGGAGAGACCCTCTGTGCAGAGAGAGGCACTTAGCGTGGATTTAGTCCCTGACAGAAGAGGCTGGGTTTGCTGCTGTTCGGAGCAGCTTGCTGTGGACAGCCATGTACCTGTACACGTGCCTCAGAGTACATGTCCTGTGGACAGACTTGCTACAGTTCAGGGTAATTTTGGCTCTAGCTACAGGATACTAGTCTACTAATACTAGGATACTAATAGTCACTCCTTCCTGTTACAGCTGCAGGTCAGCTCCGTTGACCCTCATGGAGAGCAGATGTTCTGCTCAACCATGCTGTTTGCACAGCCCTGCTGACGGATGTCACAACTCCAGCTAATGGACACTCTAGCTGTAGGGCAGGTCCAGCCACTGGCCCTCTGGATAAGAGATGTTCCTGCTGATGGGCTCTCCAGCGTGTTACTGCTCAGGGTATTTGAAGCCCTGGGTAATTTCCATTCCTGATGCTTGTTTCAGTTTCAGGTAATTTCAGGTCCAGCTTGTGGAAGCTCCAGCTTTGGTTTCAGCTCCAGCCACATGATGCTCTGGCTGCGGGACACTCCAGTTGGTTTTGATTTTGGCTACAAGAGGCTTCTGCTTCATGCAGCTCTGGCTGAGGAAGTTAAGCTGCTTCTTGTTAACAGCCTTGACTTAATAAATACTCCTTCTTGTTACAAGCCAATTAAAGCTCCAGTTAATTGCTGCAATCTGGGCTCTTGGCCAGGTTGTAAATCAATCACTGTCATAACTCGTATATGACTATGAACTGTCATATGTGTACATTGTGTAATATTGAATAACTATTCCAGTGGTTGTACATGCTGTCCTGGGTTCAGCAGTAGCAGTCATTTTTCTCCTTCTTAGTAGCTGGTGCAGTGCTGTGTTTTGGCTTTTGGCCTAGGAACAGAGCAGATAACACTGGTGTTTTTAGTTACCACTCAAATGTTTTAGTCTGGCCAAGGACTTTCTGAGCCTCATGCTCTGCCAGGGAGGAGGGGAGGCCAGGAGGAAGCAGAGACAGGACACCTGACCCAAACTGACCAAAGAGGTATTCCATACCACAGCACATCATGCTCAGGAGGTAACTAAGAGTGACCCGGAAGGGCTAGGTCTCAGGGGGGTTGGAGGAGGTATGGGTCAGTGCTTGGTCAGGCTGGGGTGGGGCGAGTTATCGGTCAGCAGGTGCTGAGGTGTTGTATTCCCTTCCCTTGTTATTTCCCTTATCATTATTATTATTGGTGGTAGCAGCGGTGATTTGTGTTATACCTTAGTTACTAAACTGTTCTTATCTCAGCCGGTAGGAGTTGCATTCTTTTGATTCTCCTCTTCGTCCCTCTGGGAGTAGGGGGAGGGAAAGAAGGGGGAGAGTGAGTGAACGAGCTGCCTGACTGGTTTTAAACCTCAACACATGCCTTGAATACATGCCTTGAATAAAGAGTTGGAGCCCAAACACAGTGTGAAAAGCCCCTTTTCCCCCAGAGGCTATCTCAAATGTTGAATTCGAGCTGGTGCAGGTTGGCTTCCTGGCATTCAGGGACCAATGTGACCAGACACCCTGCTATGAAAGGGATCCATGCAGCTGCCTCCCCGCCTCCCATCAACCCCCACGCCCCTCTGTCTCCCACCCACCTAAAGCTTCCCCACCAGCCTCTGTTTTGGGGGCTGAAATAGGCTGACCAGCTCTGTTTCCAAATCCCCAAAACACAGCATTCGGTTGGTCTTGGTTTCCAAGTCCCTGAAGCACAGGGGTGGGCCTGAATTTTCGGCACTGAAAACACATGACCTAGTCTTTTTCTGAGTTTCAGAAAGGCACTTCTGAATATAGCACTTCGTCTCCCCTTTCCAACCTGAAAAGCAGAGGCCTGCAGTGTGGGGCTTGGTTTTCCCTCGGCTGTGGAAACAGGAGCTCACTAGCATTTTCAAGTATTGAAAACACGTGACTGACTGACTCTTTTTTTCTGAACTTCAGAAACATGGAGTTCTGCTGTGGAGACCCAACACCAGCCCCCAGAGCTTGTTTTCAAGGCCAAAAATGCAGCAGTTTGTTTCAGAAGATGAAAACTCACGATTTGGTCACTATTCTCAACTACAGAAAACACATCAGCCCCTTTCTGAGCTCGAAAACCCTCTCTATGTTTCTAAGCCTCCAAAACACAGCATTCAGTCTCTGTTTTGGAAGGAGTTTGAAACGCTGTTTTCTGACCCCATGTGTGATGTGATGGGAGGTTGGAGGGAGTGTAGCCCGGCCCCAGCTGCAGTTCTGGGGAGTGCTCGGGAGCTGGGGTGAAGGCACCCTCCTTGCAGGGAGGGTCCCATCCTGCGTCTCTGTGGGACAGCATCAGCAGGTGCAGGGGTTCACTTTACTGTGCTTTATTTCACCAGCACCACCGGCCCCACACCTCACAACCCCCGTCTGCCCCAACGGGGCACCGCAGCCTTGCCTGGGCACCCCGGGAGCACAGCCCGGCCGGGCAAGGAAGCGTACAGCCCCTTCCATGGGAACGTACTAGCCTTCTACAGGGGCTCCCCCAAACCCCCACCACAGCCTCCTCCGAGGGGACTCCCCAACGTCCCGCAGGGGGAACCTTCCTCCCCACCCTCTTCCGGGGAGCCCCAGCGGCAGCGGCACCGCAGGAGCCCACCCCCACCCCCCCCGCCCCGGCCTGCCGCTGCCTGACCCACGTTGCCGCGGCGAGCAACCGTGGTCGGGACGGGGCTGCCCCTGCTTCTGCGACCCCGGAGCTGCCCAGCTGCCCCGGGAGCGCCTCTGTCCCATGGGGCTGGAGACAGCGGAGCTCGGACCCCCAGCGGGACTACGGTTCTTGCGGTCCCTCTCTCCTGCCCGGCCTAGAGCTAAACACACACAGATCTACAGTGGCTGCCGCCGCTCTAACCGCCCCACGCAGGCGCCCCGGCCCGGTACCGACCCCCGCCGAGGTTACCCCCACTGGGGCATTGTGTGGGTGCCGCGGCCGGTCCCGCCGCGGTGACCCCAAATGGGTCCCGGACCCATTTAGGAGGTGATCCTGCCCCTCCCCTCTTCTCTGTGGGACCCCACTTGGAACTCTTGTGTGCGTTTCTGGAATGGACATGGAGCTGTCCAACAGCAAGTCCAGAGGAGGACACAAGGGTGATCGGGGGCTGGAGCACCTCCAGTACAAAAAAAAACATGCTGAGAAAGTTGGGACTGTTCAGCCTGGAGAAGAGAAGCTGTGTGGAGACCTCATAGCAGCCTTCCATTATCTGAAGGGGTCCTACAAGGATGCCAGAGAATAACTCTTCAGGGACTGCAGAAACTGCAACAGAAATCAAAGCAATCATCAAGCTAACACTAACAAAAGAAGAAATACAAGCAAACAGACAGACCCAAACCACAATAAACAAAGGTTAAAGGAAAAAAAAAAAACAAAAACAACCCATGTCTCCGCAGGCAGGCACAGACCAAACAAACAAGTCAGTTTTCCTAGTTAGGTTACCCCAGCCTCCTGGGCAGCCCACAGCTGCCTCCATGTTAAGGGCACAGTGGCAGGGCCACCAACAAGGGACTTCTGCAGCAGTCACCAGGAGAGAGGGGCAGGCAGAGCACCTGGCAGAGAGGAGACATGGGAGGTAAGACTCCAGCAGGCAAAGCTGTGAGCTGGACAACTCCATCCTCCCAGACAAGCAAAGGTTTTCCATGAAAAAAAATAGAAGTTTTTTAAAAAAATAGAAACAGAGCATTCTGTCCCTCCAGGAGATGAGGAGGCTGAAGAGCTGCCTCAGTGCCGCAAGCAAATGTCACCTGGTCCTGGGCAAGGAGGTGCCCATGCTGTTTGCTCCACCTGCAGGGATGCCCGTTACTCATGTGTCCCTTGGGGGGACATGAGTCCCCCCGGGGCTGGGGCAGGACACCTACCTGTCCAGGGCAGCGACCCCTGTGGGAGGCTATTGATGGTGAGCAAAGATGAGCACAGAGACCATCTCAACAGGGAAGTGTCAGAGGGCATTGTGCTGCATGATCAGCATCTGGATATCTGGACTCCACTTGGAGCACTGTGTGCAGTTCTGGTGTCCATAAAAAGGACATGGAGCTGTTGGAGCAAGTCCAGAGGAGGGCCACGAGGATGATCAGGGGACTGGAGCACCTCCCATATGAAGACAGGCTGAGGAAGTTGGGGCTGTTCAGCCTGGAGAAGAGAAGGCTGCGTGGAGACCTCATAGCAGCCTTCCAGTACCTAAAGGGGGGCTATAGGGATGCTGGAGAGGGACTCTTCATCAGGGACTGTAGCAATAGGATAAGGGCTGATGGTTTTAAACTTACACAGGAAAAGTTCAGGTTAGATATAAGGAAGAAGTTCTTTACTGTGAGGGTGGTGAGGCACTGGAATGGGTTGCCCAAAGAAGTGGTGAATGCTTCATCCCTGGCAGTGTTCAAGGCCAGGTTGGACAGAGCCTTGGGTGACATGGTCTAGTGTGAGGTGTCCATGCCCATGGCAGGAGGTTGGAACTGGATGATCTTAAGGTCCTTTCCAACCCAAACCATTCTATGATTCCATAACACTCCCGACAGACTGAGCTCATGCAGTCTGGGATTTGCTTCCCCACCCGTGGGCATCTCTCTGGTTTTCTGTTTGAAATGTTTGAATGCTAGCAGGAGAAAATGAGGTAAGATGATACATACGGATTTATTCCCACCCCCAGAAGTACAGCTTTCAATAAATGTCTGGTTTTCCTCCTGCTTGTCACTAACATGGCTTTACAGCAGAGCTCCGGTGGGAAAACTGCAGTCTTTCCCCAGTGTATGGGACAGAGAGCTGGGAGGAAGAAGAGGAAGAGGAGGAGTAAGAGAAGGAGGAAAGAAGATTGCGAGTGAATGAAAAGTAACGCTGGTGCCGCCCACACCTCCTACTTCTCGTCTTCATATGAGAGATTTGCCAGGTAAATATCTACTATTTCTATGAGCTTCTGCTCAGGTTTCAGCTCCCGGATGGACAGACTCGGTGCCCCATCTAGCGTCCACATGACCGAACAACCACGCCAGAGACCGGAACTTCCCCAAATGCTGAGGCAATCTCCCAAGCAAACATCTCGCCCGGAAAACTGCCCCGCTCCTGCTCAAGGCTCGGCTTCGGTGAAGTATCAGACTGAGAAAACCAGCCCTCTGTGATGCAGTTAATAGGTTCTGAGAGCTGTTATCTCCTTTTCTCCCGACCTGTGCAAATCCACCCTTCCTTGGTTGGGTTTTCCCGTTATTAAAACAAGTCTGGTTGCCATTTCAACTTTGTGATGTTCAGTTTTGTAGATTAAGGCTAGGTTGTCACTTATTAGATAGCAACAACCTCCAAGTTCTTTGCAACCCTTTCTGTGTCTGTCAGGAACAGTGACTTAGTTGCTCCATTTCTCAACCCAACAAATCCATGTTCTCTCGCTTCTGTGCTTCTGCCTGCTTCACTTCTCTGCAATGCCTGCAAAGAGACCTCAACTAAAACATGCAGGAAGGTTGAACATGTGTGTCTTTGCTCAAAGAAACACTCTCTGTATCAGGACCAGGACAAAGGAGGGAAGAGTGGTGCTGTGCCTGCACCTCCTGTGTGACTAAGCGGAGCATTCAGATATCCCAAGCTGTCAAACAGTAACAAAAATCTCACTTGCGTATGCTAGAAACCTTGCAGTGCTGAATGAATATTAAATCAGCCTACTTGTCATGTCTCTTCCAATGATGAATTAACATTAGTGTCAAAGCTTATTAATGCAATATAAAAGTTACCCTGTGAATATATATGTTACAAGCTCAATTTCAGTGTGTTGCTGTACTGAATCATGTAGGAGGGCACAGTGACTTTCAGTTATCCTTATGCTACTATTAAACGTAATTATCTCCGTGTCTTGGTTGGCAAGACATGCCTAGAAGAGCTCCAGAGGGAAAGAGAGAGAGTATTTAAAATAATGAAAACTTGGCATTGCAATTATTATCTCTAAGTGTGTATTTCTTACTGATAGCTTTTGTTGACGTAATTATGCTAGGTGGTATTTTTGGCTGCAGGCAGCAACTTACATATATCAGCTTCCTCGTGAGCACATCTCAGCATGTTCCTAAAAGGAATATGTTAGCTCCTGTTAAACACACCACAGAGGGTGAGCAGAAGCAGTGTTTATGAAGTAATACCACAGCATGACTCTACCAAGCCATGCCTGTGATGTGCCCAACAAAGGCACAGAAATGTGCAGTTTTAGCTTTCAAGCACCTTCGGATCTGACTCCCATTTAATGAAGGCTTTTCTTGGCTTCAGATCTGTACCTATACCCATCAGGAACAGCAGCATTTGAGCCTCCAGAAGGACAGACCCTTCAGAAAGAGCTAATGCTTGGTACCACAAATCTTCCTATTGATAATATCCCACATGATCTTTGTCTAGTGAGGTGACTCACTCTACTTCCCTCACTCTATAAGAAGTGTTTGAGCTTGACTCAGTGGTGAAAAAATGTTTTTCTTATAACCTTGATATTCAGCATTAGCCTCAGATGGCCTCAGACTGTGGCCACTAACCACTTATATCACTTTGCTTTTCCTTTTTACCCCCTGCACCCAACTGTGCTTCCTTTCAGATAACCCCTGCAGATCACGGACCTATGGGGAGAGCAGTTCAGTTACAGCAAGGATGAAACCATTCTCCATTACCCTCAACTGATCTCTTTCAGTTCTTTGACATTTTCTGCCAGCTACACACAGAGTTTTCATTAAAGCTAAATGAGACTCAACATGGTTTATTTCAGTTTCCACATCACCAGCCTTCTACAGTGATACTTTCCCTCCATGTCAGGACCAGCCAAACTAGTTTTCCTTCAGTCTTAACCAGAAAATAACAGACTGAGACAAACCTTAATAAAAAGGAAGTGAAGGCCATTTTCCTGTATTTAGAACTGGATGGGCATTGAAAAAAATTACAAAGCCTGTAAATACCTCCTGCCCCCAACCCAGGAGATAGTTTTGTACCACCCCTGTTGATGCATGTGATAATACAAGTATTTTCTTACAAAAATGCATTATAAGAACCCCTGTGTAATCATACTTCAATCAGAAAAGCTCAAGCATGTGTAAAGTGGTGTGGGAAATTATAAACTTCACTGTGTTAATTAAGGTTGGTTTGGGAATTCATTTTTGCTGAGGTTTCCACAGAAACCAGACAGAAATTTGAAGCCAGGGGAACTGGGGACATCCAGTCTTATATGCTTGTACCCAGCCTTTCATGCTCACTAATCTTCTCTGTGTTTGTGTGCGCCTCTGTGAAATGCTGGCTAAAGGTACTGCTTGTACCTGTAAAAAACCCACCTGTTTTTTTTAAGTTGCTGCTTTACTAATCTTAAGCACCTCTTCTCCACGTGGCATGGCAGAATAAAAGGAAGTCTGAAAGCATGTGCATTTCTCCATAGGAAGATGCACAATTACTGTTAAATGAAACAGTCCCTGAGCAGGAACAACTTCTGCTGGGAGATACAAAGACTTATCTTTGGAAACAGGCCTTATGGGACAAAATGTGACATTTGCGCAGCTTTAAAATGTAGCAAGAGTATAGAACCAGGGGATTTTCTTTCTTATTAGAATCATAGACTCTTAGAAGGGTTTGGGCTGGAAAGGACCTTAAGATCATCTAGTTCCAACCGTCTTTTTATTGCTAAAAGATAGTCAAATAAATGCTAAAAAAAACCAAAACAAAACACCACACCAAACTATAAGCTCATTTATTGCTTTCTCAGAATAAATTTACTATATGCATTCCACCACCTATTAAGACTTGTGTGCTTTTGCAAATCTAAAAGCGGAGAAGAAAGTTGTCCTTGCACTGCCCCTTCCCTTAACAAGACAACGCAGTGATGCTATTCACATAGGAAAACTCAAGTTTGGATTTGCGACCTTTGAGTTAACACAGATCATCAATGTGATACATCTTAAGGCCTTCTCAACATCAAAATTTGAGGCTGCTTCTTCAGTAGCACTGGCAGTCCCCTAAAGATGCTGCAATCAGCTTTCAGTGTGGCTCTTTTGGAAGGAGGACTCCATATCCAAAGATGCAGAGGGACCCTGAAGGCTTTCTCACTGAAATGAATGGGCTGGAGCATTGAGAGCCATTGCCCTTCCTGAACAAGTGATGTATTAGTGCCAAAACCACAGTTTCTACCTGTTCTATTGGGATTCATTCAAATAGTTGCCTTACATGTAAAATTGTATCTTTTATAAAACCAGTATTTACACTATGTTCATAGTTGTGTAATGGGAAAATTCTCCTCCTGATAAATCAGCTACTCTTGTTTTTTGCAATAGTCTTGATGTCACTGAACCCCCAAATGAAGATGAATTCTCTATTTTATAATGACTCATATCAGGATGAAAAAAAAGTAAAGCTTGAAATTTACGATGCAGTAACAACACACAGCTAGAGAAATCTCCTATAGGGGATCTTTCTGCTAGCTTTCAGAAGAGAGAGAAACTGGAGGCTGCTTTGTGGTAGACCAGCTCTGACTTTGGAGTGGGGGAACAGAGGGTATGATGCAGTGACAGCGTACTTGTTCCTTCTTTTTGCTTTGAAAGACTCCCCACAACACTGATGAGAAGCCAGTTACAGTGCTGCACTTTAGGAGCAAACCTCAACTGAAAGGAAGCTTGCCACTTGATTAAGACTGCTTTTTGAGGCTTTATTGAGATGATGATTTCTGCTGACCACCTTGCGGCATGCTGAAAGTAGAGATGAGCTGATAAAGGCAGTAACACTGTTCTGTCATCACTGACTTAGCTTCTGAAGATTTCAAACCCCTCAGCATTAAGCCTTTAAAATTCATGGACCACACTACATCAATTTAAGAAAACCTTTAATTTGACTGCAAACTGAAACAACTGAACCGTTTGCCTAGCTGTGCATGTTCCTAGTCTAGGCTCATTGACTGGTGTAAGCACTGAGAGTGACTCAGGTCCTGAGGAACAACAAGTATGCACAGATGCTGCAGACCCACTTCAGAGACTGATGAGGTACCCTTTGGGATATTCCAAGCCCACTTTGCCCCTCAAGAGTTGGCCATCATTGCATTTAATCCATCTGCTGTGCTGTCACACAGCACAGGATTTACTTGGAAATACCACATATATATATGTATCTATATCTATTTACAGCTTATACATGTACCTATATGTATTTTCCAATGGAAGCCTCCATCATAACCTCAGATTTTCTTAAGGAAGTTGGCTCTGCTAAAATAATGAAGCTAAATATAGGTGACCTGGGGCAAATCCTTCTGCACACACTTGTTTTCATTTCTGTAGTTGAAATAATAATCTTTTCAAGCTTATCTAAAACATCCCTGGACCTGAATTCCTTAGAGAAGAAATTGCACTTGGGCATCTTAATGAATTTAGGAAGTGAAATCTTCATCTAAACTTAAAAGCATCACCTACAATGAAAGCACTTCTTCATTTTCCCAGGAGCTGTTTAAACCACTGCCAGTAAAATCATAACAGGGGCCACCAACCTACCAACCTTCCCTTTCTAACAAGCCATTAATTCTAGCCGGCTTCCTAAAAAACGTACTCCTTTGGTAAATTAGAGAGGAAAAAAAAAGGAAAACAAAAAGAAAACTTCCAATAGGTGAGTCTGACTCATTTTATTTCTTTCTAGCACCAATTTTCACTGTTGAATTGTGAATTCCATTGAAATAATCACAACCTTCTACCCAATCCCTGCCCCCCCCCCCCCCCCCCCCCCCAAATGAGAGCATAGGAGCTGGTTTTTAAAGGAGAATGAGATATCTATACCTCCACACATCAGCATTTAGGATGATATCTAAGATGGGGTGAACATGCGCTAACAACAGCAGAGCCTGATCTTTAGAAAAACAGCACTTTTCACACATACTGTTACATTTCACCTGTTCAGTGACCTTTACTTGGCAAAGCTCTTAAATATTTAAGTGTTAAATTGCAACACACTCACTGCTTTCTCATTAAGCACCAGGATAAACAGATGCTTCTTTCCACACTGATAGCTATCTTGCCACATGCTGTGGTCTGGGTAAATTGTGCTTAAATCAGAGGCTGATACTGCCAAATACAAAGACTGTGGCTGTCTGCAAGGGAAAAGCATCTTTGAAAGTACTAACTTTCAAAGCATCTTCAGCAACTATGCAGCATTAAGGAAACGTGATGTAACTTCAGAGCAATGGGAACAGTCAAACTTCCTCCAATCCCCATTTC